CCCAATCCTTTATGGGGAACAATGGATAAACCTCTGCTCCTGTTCAAAAGACCAGTGAGGAGTGTGAACTGGATGATAGGCAAATATATCTACTCTTATTGAGAAAGACAAAAAGATAAATAGTAAGCCAAATTTCAGAGTTTAGTAGAAGATGTTATAACTATAGAGTTGAAGTGAACCAAAAACCCAAAATCCTTTATGGGGAACAATGGATAAACCTCTGCTCCTGTTCAAAAAGACCAGTGAGGAGGTGAACTGGATGATAGGCAAATATACCTACTCTTATTGAGAAAGACAAAAAAGATAAATAGTAAGCCAAATTTCAGAGTTTAGTAGAAGATGTTATAACTATAGAGTTGAAGTGAACCAAAAACCCAATCCTTTATGGGGAACAATGGATAAACCTCTGCTCCTGTTCAAAAGACCAGTGAGGAGTGTGAACTGGATGATAGGCAAATATACCTACTCTTATTGAGAAAGACAAAAAGATAAATAGTAAGCCAAATTTCAGAGTTTAGTAGAAGATGTTATAACTATAGAGTTGAAGTGAACCAAAAACCCAATCCTTTATGGGGAACAATGGATAAACCTCTGCTCCTGTTCAAAAGACCAGTGAGGAGTGTGAACTGGATGATAGGCAAATATATCTACTCTTATTGAAAAGACAAAAGATAAATAGTAAGCCAAATTTCAGAGTTTAGTAGAAGATGTTATAACTATAGAGTTGAAGTGAACCAAAAACCCAATCCTTTATGGGGAACAATGGATAAACCTCTGCTCCTGTTCAAAAGACCAGTGAGGAGTGTGAACTGGATGATAGGCAAATATATCTACTCTTATTGAGAAAAACAAAAAATAAATAAATAGTAAGCCAAATTTCAGAGTTTAGTAGAAGATGTTATAACTATAGAGTTGAAGTGAACCAAAAACCCAATCCTTTATATGGGGAACAATGGATAAACCTCTGCTCCTGTTCAAAAGACCAGTGAGGAACTGGATGTGAACAATGATAGGCAAATATACCTACTGGATAAACCTCTATTGAGAAATGACAAAAGATAAATAGTAAGCCAAATTTCAGAGTTTAGTAGAAGATGTTATAACTATAGAGTTGAAGTGAACCAAAAAACCCAATCCTTTATGGGGAACAATGGATAAACCTCTGCTCCTGTTCAAAAAGACCAGTGAGGAGTGTGAACTGGATGATAAGCAAATATATCTACTCTTATTGAGAAAGACAAAAAGATAAATAGTAAGCCAAATTTCAGAGTTTAGTAGAAGATGTTATAACTATAGGTTGAAGTGAACCAAAAACCCAATCCTTTATGGGGGAACAATGGATAAACCTCTGCTCCTGTTCAAAAGACCAGTGAGGAGTGTGAACTGGATGATAGGCAAATATACCTACTCTTATTGAGAAAGACAAAAAGATAAATAGTAAGCTAAATTTCAGAGTTTAGTAGAAGATGTTATAACTATAGAGTTGAAGTGAACCAAAAACCCAATCCTTTATGGGGAACAATGGATAAACCTCTGCTCCTGTTCAAAAAGACCAGTGAGGAGGTGAACTGGATGATAGGCAAATATATCTACTCTTATTGAGAAAGACAAAAAGATAAATAGTAAGCCAAATTTCAGGTTTAGTAGAAGATGTTATAACTATAGAGTTGAAGTGAACCAAAAACCCAATCCTTTATGGGGAACAATGGATAAACCTCTGCTCCTGTTCAAAAAGACCAGTGAGGAGTGTGAACTGGATGATAGGCAAATATATCTACTCTTATTGAGAAAAGACAAAAGATAAATAGTAAGCCAAATTTCAGAGTTTAGTAGAAGATGTTATAACTATAGAGTTGAAGTGAACCAAAAACCCAATCCTTTATGGGGGAACAATGGATAAACCTCTGCTCCTGTTCAAAAGACCAGTGAGGGAGTGTGAACTGGATGATAGGCAAATATACCTACTCTTATTGAGAAAGACAAAAGATAAATAGTAAGCCAAATTTCAGAGTTTAGTAGAAGATGTTATAACTATAGAGTTGAAGTGAACCCAAACCCAATCCTTTATGGGGAACAATGGATAAACCTCTGCTCCTGTTCAAAAGACCAGTGAGGAGTGTGAACTGGATGATAGGCAAATATATCTACTCTTATTGAGAAAGACAAAAGATAAATAGTAAGCCAAATTTCAGAGTTTAGTAGAAGATGTTATAACTATAGAGTTGAAGTGAACCAAAAAGGACCAATCCTTTATGGGGAACAATGGATAAACCTCTGCTCCTGTTCAAAAGACCAGTGAGGGTGTGAACTGGATGATAGGCAAATATACCTACTCTTATTGAGGAAAGACAAAAAGATAAATAGTAAGCCAAATTTCAGAGTTTAGTAGAAGATGTTATAACTATAGAGTTGAAGTGAACCAAAAAACCCAATCCTTTATGGGGAACAATGGATAAACCTCTGCTCCTGTTCAAAAAGACCAGTGAGGAGTGTGAACTGGATGATAGGCAAATATACCTACTCTTATTGAGAAAAAGACAAAAAGATAAATAGTAAGCCAAATTTCAGAGTTTAGTAGAAGATGTTATAACTATAGAGTTGAAGTGAACCAAAAAATGGACAATCCTTTATGGGGAACAATGGATAAACCTCTGCTCCTGTTCAAAAGACCAGTGAGGAGATGTGAACTGGATGATAGGCAAATATATCTACTCTTATTGAGAAAGACAAAAAAGATAAATAGTAAGCCAAATTTCAGAGTTTAGTAGAAGATAGAACTATAGAGTTGAAGTGAACCAAAAAACCAATCCTTTATGGGGAACAATGGATAAACCTCTGCTCCTGTTCAAAAGACCAGTGAGGAGTGTGAACTGGATGATAGGCAAATATATCTACTCTTATTGAGAAACAAAAAGATAAATAGTAAGCCAAATTTCAGGAGTTAGTAGAAGATGTTATAACTATAGAGTTGAAGTGAACCAAAAACCCAATCCTTTATGGGGAACAATGGATAAACCTCTGCTCCTGTTCAAAAGACCAGTGAGGAGTGTGAACTGGATGATAGGCAAATATACCTACTCTTATTGAGAAAGACAAAAAGATAAATAGTAAGCCAAATTTCAGAGTTTAGTAGAAGATGTTATAACTATAGAGTTGAAGTGAACCAAAAAAACCAATCCTTTATAGGGAACAATGGATAAACCTCTGCTCCTGTTCAAAAAGACCAGTGAGGAGTGTGAACTGGATGATAGGCAAATATATCTACTCTTATTGAGAAAGACAAAAAGATAAATAGTAAGCCAAATTTCAGAGTTTAGTAGAAGATGTTATAACTATAGAGTTGAAGTGAACCAAAACCCAATCCTTTATGGGGAACAATGGATAAACCTCTGCTCCTGTTCAAAAAGACCAGTGAGGAGTGTGAACTGGATGATAGGCAAATATACCTACTCTTATTGAGAAAAAGACAAAAAAGATAAATAGTAAGCCAAATTTCAGAGTTTAGTAGAAGATGTTATAACTATAGAGTTGAAGTGAACCAAAAACCCAATCCTTTATGGGGAACAATGGATAAACCTCTGCTCCTGTTCAAAAACCAGTGAGGAGTGTGAACTGGATGATAGGCAAATATACCTACTCTTATTGAGAAAAGACAAAAAATAAATAGTAAGCCAAATTTCAGAGTTTAGTAGAAGATGTTATAACTATAGAGTTGAAGTGAACCAAAACCCAATCCTTTATGGGGAACAATGGATAAACCTCTGCTCCTGTTCAAAAGACCAGTGAGGAGTGTGAACTGGATGATAGGCAAATATACCTACTCTTATTGAGAAAGACAAAAAGATAAATAGTAAGCCAAATTTCAGAGTTTAGTAGAAGATGTTATAACTATAGAGTTGAAGTGAACCAAAAACCCAATCCTTTATGGGGAACAATGGATAAACCTCTGCTCCTGTTCAAAAGACCAGTGAGGGAGTGTGAACTGGATGATAGGCAAAATATACCTACTCTTATTGAGAAAGACAAAAAGATAAATAGTAAGCCAAATTTCAGAGTTTAGTAGAAGATGTTATAACTATAGAGTTGAAGTGAACCAAAAACCCAATCCTTTATGGGGAACAATGGATAAACCTCTGCTCCTGTTCAAAAGACCAGTGAGGAGTGTGAACTGGATGATGAAATATACCTCTTATTGCAAATATACCTACTCTTATTGAGAAAGACAAAAAGATAAATAGTAAGCCAAATTTCAGAGTTTAGTAGAAGATGTTATAACTATAGAGTTGAAGTGAACCAAAACCCAATCCTTTATGGGAACAATGGATAAACCTCTGCTCCTGTTCAAAAAGACCAGTGAGGAGTGTGAACTGGATGATAGGCAAATATATCTACTCTTATTGAGAAAGACAAAAAGATAAATAGTAAGCCAAATTTCAGAGTTTAGTAGAAGATGTTATAACTATAGAGTTGAACCAAAACCCAATCCTTTATGGGGAACAATGGATAAACCTCTGCTCCTGTTCAAAAGACCAGTGAGGAGTGTGAACTGGATGATAGGCAAATATACCTACTCTTATTGAGAAAAGACAAAAAGATAAATAGTAAGCCAAATTTTCAGAGTTTAGTAGAAGATGTTATAACTATAGAGTTGAAGTGAACCAAAAACCCAATCCTTTATGGGGAACAATGGATAAACCTCTGCTCCTGTTCAAAAGACCAGTGAGGAGTGTGAACTGGATGATAGGCAAATATATCTACTCTTATTGAGAAAGACAAAAAGATAAATAGTAAGCCAAATTTCAGAGTTTAGTAGAAGATGTTATAACTATAGAGTTGAAGTGAACCAAAAACCCAATCCTTTATGGGGAACAATGGATAAACCTCTGCTCCTGTTCAAAAGACCAGGGAGGAGTGTGAATCGAGCAATAGGAAAATCTATCAACTCCTATTGACTCCTTTTTGAAGTGTCAATCAACAGTAACCTAGTCCATTACAACTTGTAGCACCTATTTGCATGGTCACTGAAGTTAAGCAACTTTGAGTCTGGTCAGTACCTAGATGGGTGACCACTTGGGAATATCAGGTGCTGTAAGCTTTGATGTAGTGGGGGGAGTGTAATGGATGGCAGCTCAGAATGAGAAATTAGGGAACAGTGTTCAAATACCAATCAAGTTTGTTACATTCACTTATGTGCAAATAACCTTGGGAATATTATGAATCCATCTCTTTTCAACCCATCTATGGGTTAAATAGTAAGACTGATATCATTAAATCATTATTATCTTCCAAAATTCTCACAATCTAAAAATATTTTTTTGGTTTGAATAACCTGCAAAAGATTGATAAACTGTACAAAACAAAATCACTCAGTAAGTTTGAAAAAGTCAATCTAAATAATAGCAGGATGTTGACAAAACAATTCTAACAACTGACTTCCCAGAATTCACCATATGTTTTTTTTTTTTTCATCATTTCACCACCCCCATAAGCAAGGTGATAATGCCACTAAGACACAAGGGGTTACTGAAAAAATATTAGTGAGGATTGGTTGATTGCTTGCTTTTGTTTAGCAGCATATCAACCTGTATGGGTTATTTAATGCCAAAATCTAAATATTTTGTATACATTTTTTTTTCTTGAGTTAATAATAGTTTTAGTGCTACAAGTCTTACTAATTAACTAACAGCTGGGGAGAGAAGAAGTGAATTCATACCTTTCCCAAGGATATTTGTACATAAGTGACTATAACAAAACCAGCTGGAATTGAAACACAACTCTCTGATTAACAGTTCCAATTCATTATCCATTACACTACCCACACATCCAAGCTTACAGCACCTGGTATTCCCAAGTGGTCACCCTTCTAGGTACTGACCTGGCTCAACATTTCTTAACTTCTGTGATTGTTTGGGAAATAGTGTTTCAATATGATGTGGCCGTAAGCCTCGTTAGTGAAGAAAAAGGACAATAAAGCTATAAGATTCAAGAAGACACAAGATAGCAACTAACACTGCCATTAAATTTTTGAAGATTGTGAGATGGCAGGTAAGTAAGGAACCAGAAGAGAGTTCCACAGGCAAGAGGTGCAAGAAAAGAAACTATTAGAATAGAACTTACAGTTATAATTACATATTTCAATAGTAAAAGAGTAAGACCTAATTGCCAATCCAGTCATAATCATCATCATCTCCTTGACTTTTTTTAATCGTAGGGTGGGGGATCTGAATGCAGAAGCCATATTGAATCTCCCCCACAATGGTCTGTCAATGGCAGCCATCAGCAATTCTGGTATAGTCATACCAGTCCATTGTTTGACACCAGTTTTTGTGTTGGCATCCTATTCTACATCCACCTTCAATTGTGCCTTGCATTGATGGTCTTGCACAGGCTGTCATGCCTAGTAATGTGTCCAAACCACACCATTTTTCTCCGTTTGACAGTGGCGAGAAGAGGTTCCTGATGGTCCACAAAACTTTCAGCCCTTTTCTACACAAACTCATGGATCCTTCTTTCTGTTTCTGCCAACAATGTCCACGTTTCACATCCATATAGGAGAATGGAAACTACCAGCGATTTGTACAGTTTGTACTTTGTTTGAAAGCTGATTTTGCTCCTCCATATTCTTGTCAATTTGGTCATCACTGCCATACCTGTGGCAATCCATGTGCAGATTCCCAATTTGCAGATACCAAGATTAAGACAAGATTGTTTCTAAGTATTTAAAACTGGACACTACCTCCAGTGAATTCTCATTCATCGTAATGTTGACATTGATGTTACTGTTTGTGCTATTGACCATTACTTTGGATTTCTTGGAGCTGACCTCCAATCTAGTAGCAGGCTTAAATTCATGCAGTCAACATACCAAGGATAAAAACAACTGTCATGAAAATATTTATAGAAAAGCACAGGGAAGTCTTGTCATGGCAGTGGGGAAAATGACTTTAGTCAAGAATCTTGAGATATTTAACCAGAGAGCAGATATGGCAGCAATATTCAATTCACGGAAGAATGATCAATGAATTCAACAAGAAGAATTATCTGGCACTATACAGTGAACCAACTTTACTAGCGTTCAACCTAGCAATTAATTAAATATAATTACTCCACTTTATATCAATGGAAAATATGAGCTCAAGAAATTGCAGTGAATTGCTCTCCTAGAGATTAACATCAGTTCTACTGATGAAGGGCCAAAATATTTCCCTATAATCATTAAAAGACATTTTTTTTTTTGGAGGCATTCAAATTTACAAGGCATTTCTTGCCCCAGTTAACAACTGATTGGAGATAATTTTCAAGATAAGCTTTTTTTTCTTAAAACTTTATCAGACCTATCATCAATACAAGAGTAAATAGTTGTATATTGTGGCACTGGACACATCTCTCCAGAAGAGGACTTGGACTCATCCAAATACATAAATATGACTACTGAGAATTATCAGTGGCAGGATTAAACAAGTAGAGAGTTAGAGATCTAGCTGATCTGCTTTCTATTTTAGCAAGACTACATCAACTCCAAGCAACATAATAATTCTTGATTAATTTATCTGCATTCAAGACAATAAAGGCATAACACAAGATATCCCTAGATACCCGGATTGATAGACACCTGAAGAGGGCTGAAACATTATGATAATAAGAAAGGTGAGGGCATTAGTGGGAATGTAAATAATAATTCCTTATCCCAGCAATTAAGATGAAAAGATTTATTTGATGAAACGCAAAATACTGTCATACGAGTCATTTACTAATTGATTTTAACGATATATGAAATATGTAATACGAAGAAGTATTTAACAAAAAAAAATACCCTTTATTACCATTTTTTTATAAACCTGTAAGACATATTTTTGCCATCCTTTCATGAAATTTACCTGATAATGATTGGATATTTCACCTTTTTTATTACTGGCCCAAAGTAGTACTAAAAAAACAAAAAGAACAAGATGTTGTGACAATGAACACAACTCTCCAGAAGAGGACTTGGACTTGTCCAAATACATATAGACTGATGCCAAGAATTGTCAGTGGAAGGCGTAAACAAGTAGAGAGTTAGAGGTCTAGCTTATCTGCTTACTACCTATGTCAGCAAGACTACGTCGACACCAAACAACATACAACTTCTTGATTGTGTTATCTTACTTCAAGACAATGAAGACATAACATTGTATCATCAGTATAAATACTAAGTTGACAATAAATGACATTGGGAAGGTGATTGAAGGAAATAAGAAATGACATAGATCCAAAGATAGACCTCTGGGGGAGCCCTGCATTAAAGTAAAAAGTCCTAGAAGAGTGGCCATTCAAAACAACCTTCACTACACAATCTGTTAAGAAAGATTTAAGTCAAATATTTGACCAGAGACACCATAGCTCTTTAAAAGACATTTAACTGCTGAAAATTAAGACTGCAAGGAATCCTGGTAATTCCCCCAGAAAACAGAAAATATGAAGTTCATGTTTATTACACAGATGGATTTTTTTTTGGATTTTTTTTAATCATTTCACTCCAAGCAAGGTAATAAAGCCTCTAAGATACAAAAGGTTACTGAGTGTTAGAGAATATTAGTAAGTTTGTTGTTAACTGGGGCAAAAGATGGCTTGTCAATTTCAACCCCTCCAAAACTAAATTTCTGTTTATTAATCCTCTGCAAGACCCCTCTGTACCTTCCATCAGCATGGCTGATGCTAACCTCCAGGAAAATGACTCATTGCACCTTCTCAGGCTAACATTCTCAGCTGACATGAAGTGAAAAGACTATATTGATTCCATTGCTAGGTAAGCTGCTAAAAAGGTTGGATTGCTGTGTCATGCAAGACAATTATTCTCTCCGGAATCTATCTTACATATGTATAAGTCTACCATTCATCCATGATTCGAATATTGCTGCCATATATAGTCCGATGCCCCTGCTATTTAGCTTGAGTTCCTTGATAAGATCCAAAGAAGAATCTGCAATATTATTGGTCCTGATCTGGCAGCTTGGCTTCAGTCACTTACCCACTGCTGTAAGGTTGCCTCTCTGTGCCATTTTTTAAAAATACTTTCATGGTAATTAAATTTAACTGCAATACTAGACCCGGCATTGAGATCTCATCAATTTACAGTTGAGCTTTCTAGATGCAGCCATAAGTTCTATGCTAACAGTTTCTTCTCTCACATTTATCACTTGTAGAACTCCCTTCCGGCCCCATGTTTACCAGCCAACTTTAATCTGAAAAAATCTAAATGCAATGTCAATCGCTATCCGAATTGCTATTACAGAAAAGGCACAGGGAAGCTACATTACAGTGGTGGGGAAAAAGTGACTGAAGCTGAGATGCCAGTAACATTGAAAATTCATTGGATTTTATCAAGAATCTCTAAATATATAGCAAGAGCACCAGACCAGATGTGGCAGCAATATTCAAAACAACAATAAATAGTTGACTTAAATATATAAAATAGATTTGAGCAAAGATAATTGTCCTGCGCAACACAGGAAATGAACCTTCCTAGCAGCTGACCTAGCAATTGATTCAATATAATCTTTGCACTTCATGTTAGTAGAAAACAATCTGAGAATGTGCAATTGCTTTTTTTTATTTATAGTTTATTGTTTAAGCTAAACCATCCTTAATAGGATGCTGAAATTGGATACAAAAGTTACAGAAACGAAATTCAACTAATTAGTGTTTCTCTAGACCTTATTCATTTTGAAGGTACTCAACATAAAAAATAAAATGTCTGTTCATTTTTTTCTTATCAGTTCAGAGTCCTACGCATTTACAATTGTTTATGGAAGCCAGCTGCCAATTTTTCATCTTGTAAAGAAATTGTAAAATTGTTCAGTGGAATAATTCATGGCTGAATAACACACTTCAGTTTTTATCTCACATTTGAGAATTGCGAGTGAACCAAATTATAAATGAGAATGAACTCTCATGTAAACAAAGGCAGCAACAGTTTGTATTTAAAGAATTAAGGAATATCAGGATCTAGATAGATTTGGATGACTTTTGCTGGTTGGTTCTGATAGATTTATCCAGTAAATCTGATTCCTTAGGAAAAGAGTTCAAGTCTCATTGGAAGTATCTTCTTTAGGTCTACTTTGTACTGCATATTAAACTTTGTGAAACTGCACTCCATTTGATGATTAAAAGCAATTGAAATTAACATTAAAGAAATACAAGTCAAATAATCAACATTTTCACTGTGGAGGATGTTGATTTTTCAGGATAAATGCGTGAATAATATAGGTGTGTCCTATTCTTGATAGGATGATTTCTTCCTTCCGAGAAAGAAATGATCACGTAGAATATATTTAATTTTAATAAACTTTGTGGTTTGGCTGATTTTGTTTTGTTAGTTGCAGTGCTAGTTCCATAATTCTTACCATTTTTTTAGAAACTATAAGTTTGAAGTCTGTATAAAAGATTTTTGAATATGAAATGTTCATTCTGAGGGATTCCTTAGATGACATGTCAGATTCTCTTTATATGGATACCAATATGGCTTGGTACCCAACAGAAGACAGATGAGATTGATCCTGTTCAGTAATTTAACTATTAAAGGATTGTTCAATGATGTAAATAAGGATAGTGACTCTGAGAGAACTGATATTGTTTTGTTCATTGTCTGTTGTGATGGCTATAGATTCAATGCTAAAAATAGAGGATTTGTCAGGTAGACATTTTTTGATCTAAATTGATATCAAGTAGCTGAATTCTGAGGATGGTCTTGGATTTGTTGGTTCATTTCCAAAATGAAATGCTTGAGAACATTTCATCATTACCCGACATCTTTCTGCATTGATGATAAAGACATTAATGATGTCTTTTTGGTCATATGTGTATCCGAGTGTTGTTGAATTAAAATTATTTGTTGAGATCAATAACAAGATCAATACATTGATATGTATTGATCATATTTTTCCATTTTTTTTGTGGTCTCTTT